TATGTGACCGAGAGACCATGTGACCGAGAGACCATGTGACCGTGAGACCATGTGACCGTAAGACCATGTGACCGAGAGACCATGTGACCTGGAGACCATGTGACTGAGAGACCATGTGACCGAGAGACCATGTGACCGAGAGACCATGTGACGAGAGACCATGTGACCGAGAGACCATGTGACCATGTGACCGAGAGGCGCATGGTCTCTCGGTTATTACCATGTACCGAGAGACCATGCGCCTCCATGGAAACACAATATGAAGTCATGACAATGATCTCTGAAGCTGGAGCAAAGTGTATCTAAAGACTGAGTTGTGGCAAATCATTCCAGCTCCATCAGCACCATGAAGTTAGCTAGCACCATGAAGTTAGCCAGCATCATGCAGTCAGATAGCACCATGCGTTAGCCAGCACCATGCGTTAGCTAGCACCGCGCGGTTAGCTAGCACCATGCGGTTAGCTAGCACCATGCGTTAGCCAGCACCATGCAGTTAGCCAGCACCATGCGTTAGCTAGCACCGCGCGGTTAGCTAGCACCATGCGGTTAGCTAGCACCATGCGTTAGCCAGCACCATGCAGTTAGCCAGCACCATGCGTTAGCCAGCACCATGCGTTAGCTAGCACCGCGCGGTTAGCTAGCACCATGCGTTAGCCAGCACCATGCAGTTAACTAGCACCATGCGTTAGCTAGCACCGCGCGGTTAGCTAGCACCATGCGGTTAGCTAGCACCATGCGTTAGCCAGCACCATGCAGTTAGCCAGCACCATGCGTTAGCCAGCACCATGCGTTAGCTAGCACCGCGCGGTTAGCTAGCACCATGCGTTAGCCAGCACCATGCAGTTAACTAGCACCATGCGTTAGCTAGCACCAGCGACACAGAGGCTTCTTTGTCACGGCCTCATTCTGACTGCACTCATCATTGATTTTCTTGATACCTGTGTCTCAGCAGTGACCCACCTCCCTCAGGAGCCACAAACTGAGGTCCAGGAGCCACAGACTGAGGTCCCACAGACTGAGGTCCCACAGACTGAGGTCCTGGAGCCTATAGTGTAGTGTACTTCGTGTAACTTCTGTGTTTCTTTGTTTTCAGACTTGAAAGAACATTATTAGAGTTAAAGTGTGTCACAGTCTGGGGTCAGGAGCACACACCTGTCTGATACAGCAACACAAAGACACCTGTGTCTGTGTCCACCTGCCTGTCCACACGCACACTCGCACAGACACACATGTACATACACGCACACACACATACACACACACACATATACATACACACACACACAGTATATATAATATTTGCTGCTCTGTGATTGGACACATTCCTGGAGCTGCTCTCAGTGAAGATCAGAGAAGTGTCACCTGTCAATCATCTACAGACAGCTGTTTGGAGAGAGTATAAACCTATGCATTGTTATTATTGTTATTATTGTTCATTTATATTATTATACGGCTCCTCACAGCAGCAGTAGAACGCTCCATTGATTTGAATGTCATTTCAAAACGTTCTACCGGTCATTATTTTCTATAACGGACCTCTCAAAACAATAATGACCGCTGCCCTTTGGCAACGCACTCTCTGCTTGTCTTTCAAATGCGTGGATAACTCCGCAAGTAGTTCCGGCCACTCCGGAGCTAGCCACGCTCAATCAACACACTTAAATGTTAATCGGAGAATACTTATACATTCTTCACACACGTGCACGGACATTTTCAGAATTTTCTGGTCTTGTCTTCATGACAAAAATACTATTTCTCTGCGTCAAAAAGCAATCGTGAAAAACCCGGAAGTAGTTCTGGCCGCTCAATAAACGCAAATGCCAATCAATCAACGCAATGAAATGTTAATCGGAGAGTAATTTATACATATCCAGTCTTAATACAAGTGCACGGAAGTTTTCAGAATTTTCCGTTTACGTTTTCATGACAAAAACACTGATGTAATGCAAGAAAAGGCGATCCCGAAAAACCCGGAAGTAGATACCGGCACATTTTAAGATACCGGCACATTTTCGGACACATTTGCAGAGGATCGAATTATGGATTTAGGTTAGGTTTATGTTTGGGTTCAGGTTCTTTGTTCAGTTTTCATGCAGTTCCAGAGAGTTCTAGTTTGGAAGTTCCCAGCCTAACTGTTGCTAGCATAGCCACGGGAAAACCTTTGGGAACTATTTTATTTTCTGTCATTAAATAAACCTTTCGGCATTCCTAAAAGTGGACTGAAGTTTATGTTGTGTGTTCTGTTGGTATAAAGCCGTATAATAAGCGGGATAATGTATAGTACGCAGGTCATTATCGGAAAATAAGTACCTTCAGGGCGGAAGCAGACGCTTCGCCCTGAAGGTACTTATTTTCCGATAATGACCTGCGTAATATACGGTATCCTTTACTTATAAATCAGCCCCATCAGTGTCTCCACATCTTGGACTGAAGTATTTTTACAGATAATGTTTTCAGATATTTGTATACATTATTTTCATTATTAAACCTGGCACAAACACCCAGGTCTGACACACAGGTGTGACACACAGGTGTGACACACACAGGTGTGACACACACAGGTGTGACACACAGGTGTGACGCACAGGTGTGACACACAGGTGTGACTCACAGGTGTGACACACACAGGTGTGACACACACAGGTGTGACACACAGGTGTGACGCACAGGTGTGACACACAGGTGTGACACACACAGGTGTGACACACAGGTGTGACACATAGGTGTAACACACAGGTGTGACGCACAGGTGTGACACACACAGGTGTGACACACAGGTGTGACACACAGGTGTGACACACAGGTGTAACACACAGGTGTGACGCACAGGTGTGACACACACAGGTGTAACGCACAGGTGTGACGCACAGGTGTGACACACAGGTGTGACACACACAGGTGTAACGCACAGGTGTGACGCACAGGTGTGACACACACAGGTGTAACGCACAGGTGTGACGCACAGGTGTGACACACACAGGTGTAACGCACAGGTGTGACACACAGGTGTGACACACACAGGTGTAACGCACAGGTGTGACACACAGGTGTGACACACAGGTGTGACACACACAGGTGTAACGCACAGGTGTGACACACAGGTGTGACACACAGGTGTAACACACAGGTGTGATGCACCTTCACATGGCACTTTATACAAACTACTGCACTTTATTTGCACTGAAACTATCTTTGTGACGTCCTCTCTTTTTTTTCAAGATTCAATTCAAGATTCAGGAATTTGCAGTAAAACCACATTGGAAAAACTGTGCAAGAGTCCCCCAGTGTGACCCAGAGGAGCCCACACCAGAGTCCCCCAGTGTGACCCAGAGGAGACCACACCAGAGTCCCCCAGTGTGACCCAGAGGAGACCACACCAGAGTCCCCCAGTGTGACCCAGAGGAGACCACACCAGAGTCCCCCAGTGTGACCCAGAGGAGACCACACCAGAGTCCCCCAGTGTGACCCAGAGGAGACCACACCAGAGTCCCCCAGTGTGACCCAGAGGAGACCACACCAGAGTCCCCCAGTGTGACCTAGATGAGACCACTTTCCCTCGTGCGACGATACAGAGAACTTTGAACTTTGATGTAAAATCAGCTGTAAACGTTGAGTGTAATGATATGACTGGGAAACTTCTTCTCCTCCTCCTCCTTCTTCTTCTGTTTCTAATAACAGCTGATGGACGAGGTGCAGGTGACTCTGAAGAAGCAGAGCTCATTTGGCTAATTCTCAGGATTCTACACTTTTAGCTCCTTATTTATGAAGTGCCGCAGGATCGTCTGAAGTCAAGTTTCCACCGAGGAGTTTACGGCTCCTAATACGGACTGTTTGGATCCGGGTCCAGAGACGGGTCCAGGACACTTTCTATAGAGCGACCTGGCCTCCCACAAACATCTCTCTACGGTAACAACAAGACTTTTTCCAACTTTATTCTTCGGTCTTTTCCAGGGATCCACCTTTTGTCTGTTTCACATCATATTTATGAAAGATTTCTGGCAACTAAAGCGATTACTAACTTTCTGCTTAGTCCAATCTGGCAACGCACACTCACTTTCATTCACAACTGATCATAATGTATCATTCAGGTCTGAAAACAATCTACAGCCTCAGTCCTGGGTCTACAGCCTCAGTCCTGGATCTACAGCCTCAGTCCTGGATCTACAGCCTCAGTCCTGGGTCTACAGCCTCAGTCCTGGATCTACAGCCTCAGTCCTGGGTCTACAGCCTCAGTCCTCGGTCTACAGCCTCAGTCCTGGGTCTACAGCCTCAGTCCTGGATCTACAGCCTCAGTCCTGGGTCTACAGCCTCAGTCCTGGGTCTACAGTCTCAGTCCTGGGTCTACAGCCTCAGTCCTGGATCTACAGCCTCGGTCCTGGGTCTACAGCCTCAGTCCTGGATCTACAGCCTCGGTCCTGGGTCTACAGCCTCAGTCCTGGATCTACAGCCTCAGTCCTGGGTCTACAGCCTCAGTCCTGGGTCTACAGCCTCAGTCCTGGGTCTACAGCCTCAGTCCTGGATCTACAGCCTCAGTCCTGGATCTACAGCCTCAGTCCTGGGTCTACAGCCTCAGTCCTGGATCTACAGCCTCAGTCCTGGGTCTACAGCCTCAGTCCTCGGTCTACAGCCTCAGTCCTGGGTCTACAGCCTCAGTCCTGGATCTACAGCCTCAGTCCTGGGTCTACAGCCTCAGTCCTGGGTCTACAGTCTCAGTCCTGGGTCTACAGCCTCAGTCCTGGATCTACAGCCTCGGTCCTGGGTCTACAGCCTCAGTCCTGGATCTACAGCCTCGGTCCTGGGTCTACAGCCTCAGTCCTGGATCTACAGCCTCAGTCCTGGGTCTACAGCCTCAGTCCTGGGTCTACAGTCTCAGTCCTGGGTCTACAGCCTCAGTCCTGGGTCTACAGCCTCAGTCCTGGGTCTACAGCCTCAGTCCTGGGTCTACAGCCTCAGTCCTGGATCTACAGCCTCAGTCCTGGGTCTACAGCCTCAGTCCTGGGTCTACAGTCTCAGTCCTGGGTCTACAGCCTCAGTCCTGGATCTACAGCCTCGGTCCTGGGTCTACAGCCTCAGTCCTGGATCTACAGCCTCGGTCCTGGGTCTACAGCCTCAGTCCTGGATCTACAGCCTCAGTCCTGGGTCTACAGCCTCAGTCCTGGGTCTACAGCCTCAGTCCTGGGTCTACAGCCTCAGTCCTGGATCTACAGCCTCGGTCCTGGGTCTACAGCCTCAGTCCTGGATCTACAGCCTCAGTCCTGGGTCTACAGCCTCAGTCCTGGGTCTACAGCCTCAGTCCTGGGTCTACAGCCTCAGTCCTGGATCTACAGCCTCGGTCCTGGATCTACAGCCTCGGTCCTGGGTCTACAGCCTCAGTCCTGGGTCTACAGCCTCAGTCCTGGGTCTACAGCCTCAGTCCTGGATCTACAGCCTCGGTCCTGGATCTACAGCCTCGGTCCTGGGTCTACAGCCTCAGTCCTGGGTCTACAGCCTCAGTCCTGGGTCTACAGCCTCAGTCCTGGGTCTACAGCCTCAGTCCTGGATCTACAGCCTCGGTCCTGGGTCTACAGCCTCAGTCCTGGATCTACAGCCTCAGTCCTGGGTCTACAGCCTCAGTCCTGGGTCTACAGCCTCAGTCCTGGGTCTACAGCCTCAGTCCTGGATCTACAGCCTCGGTCCTGGGTCTACAGCCTCAGTCCTGGATCTACAGCCTCAGTCCTGGGTCTACAGCCTCAGTCCTGGGTCTACAGCCTCAGTCCTGGGTCTACAGCCTCAGTCCTGGATCTACAGCCTCGGTCCTGGATCTACAGCCTCGGTCCTGGGTCTACAGCCTCAGTCCTGGGTCTACAGCCTCAGTCCTGGGTCTACAGCCTCAGTCCTGGATCTACAGCCTCGGTCCTGGATCTACAGCCTCGGTCCTGGGTCTACAGCCTCAGTCCTGGGTCTACAGCCTCAGTCCTGGGTCTACAGCCTCAGTCCTGGATCTACAGCCTGGTAGCGAGACCGCGGTGAGACTCCGACCCAGAGGGAGAGCAGACCCACATCCTTTGCCCATTAGC